AATGCTAAATTTGAACATATTTCAGCCTAAAAATCATATTTGGCATATAAAAGTAAAATTAATTTTTCTGGCAGTTTTCCCCCTTTCTATTGCAAAGATCCTAATTGATCTTTATTATTATTTTTTTAATTATTTTTTAGATGATATTCCCCCTTCTTCTGCTCCATCATCACCACCACAATATTTTCATTTAATTTATGATGAAAATTTGTAATTTTATTGGTTTTTTTTAAAAAAATAATAAAAAACAAAATATTTAAATTTAATTTATCATTATTTCTTTACTTATTTTATTTTATTTTCTAATTATTATAAAAGACGATGATGATACCACCACTACCACAAATGTTGTTGCTGCACCTAAAGTTGTCACTAATATAATTGCTGCTACCCTTAAAGTTGCTATTGCTACTACAGTCAAAGTTCTCTATAACGAATTTCTGTATTCTGAATTTTGCATTATTGCGAATCACATGAGTAGTATGAAATTTTATTAAATAAAATAATTAAATACAATGAATTTTTATAGTAAATTTTACTATTATGTATAACGAATCTGAAGATCAATATAAGTATAATAAAATGAAGTTTTTATTAGTGAACTTTTTTTATAACGAATTTTCATCATGAATATAACGAATTTGTTTTAGCGAATTTTTATATTAAATTCAAGGGATACAATAAATTTTTTCGATTGCTATTAATAGAAAGTTCATACTATAAAATCAAACAATTGTGTGAATTTTTTTTATAATCAATCATTTTATTTGAAATGCCAAAAGAAAAAAAAAAATAATTCTCATAAAGGTAAAGAGAAAGCTTCTGATGTAAAATGAACTAGAGCCTCTTTTACAGGTGCTCAAAAACAAGAAGTTTGCCAAAAAAAGTTGCAGAAACCAGCACCTAAAAATAAAGAACTTGCTAAAGAGTTTGACATTTCAGAAGGGATAATATGTGATATCTTAAAAGAAAGTGAAAAATGGTTAGCTCTAAAATTAAATTCTTATGAAGCTTCACTTAAAAGACAAATTAAACCAAGTTTTTCACAAATTGATGAAGCTTTAGGTTTTTGGGTCGAAAAAGCCATAGATAATAATATTACTATCAGTGGCAAATTATTGGTACAAAAAGCATGTGATTTCGCAATGTTACTTGATGTACAGGGCTTTAAAGGGTCTGATGGATGGGTAGCAGGTTTTAAAAAATGGCATAATCTTGATTGCTACGTTAAACATGAAGAGGCAGCAAGTACTCCTTTTAAAGATTTGGATAATATGCGTAAAGATCTTCAAAATATTCTTAAAGAATATTCACCTAATGATATCTTTAATATAGATGAAACTGGACTTTACTGGAAAATGAAGCCAAATCATATTTTATCAACTGGTCCAGATAATTTAAATATTGATTAGTATAAAAATCAATATAAATAATTATATAAATGAAAATAATACTTATCTTACAATAATTGTAGGTAAAAAACAATCTAAAGAGCATATTACTATTGCAGTATGTTGTAATACTACAGGAACTAAAAAAAAAGCAATTTTTATTGGAAAAAGTCAAAATCCGCGTGTCATAAAACATATTCCAAAATCATCACTTCCAGTGAAATATTATTGGAATAAAACAGCATATATGCAAGTTAGTATCTGTAATGATTGGCTAAAGCTTTTTGACTCACGTTTAAGACTTCAGAATAGACATATAATTCTACTCTATGATGGTACATCCACTCACAAATTAAATGAAGATACTATACTTTCTAATATTCATCTTCACAAGTTACCTCCTAATACAACTTCCCATCTCCAACCATGTAATGCTGGAATTATTCATAGTTTTAAAATAAATAACAAAAAATTATTATAAATAATAAAAAAAAACACTAATAATATAATAAATATAGGTATAGTACTGGAAGTTACTTTTGTGAAATCGTATTAAAGCATTTGATAATAATCAAGAAACTGGTCAACCCATACCTAAAATTACAATAAAAAAGGCCATCAAATATGCAGCAAAAGCATGGGACTTAGTTTGACCTAAAACTATTATAAATGGTTGGAGAAAAACTGGTATCCTTCCACAAAATACCGATGATAATGAAAGTATTGATGATTTTGCTAATTTCGATTTTACCGATGAGGAGAAGGAGAATATCAATCAAATACAAGATCTTATTAATCGTTTGGCTTCTAATGTATATGAAAACCTGATTTCTGCCAAAGAATATCTACAATATGAAAAAGATGAAACAAATCATCAGATGGTGACTGATAAAGAAATTGTAGAAATGATGAAAGAACCGGAAGAACCGAATATTGAAGAATCAGATATTTCTATTATCAGTAGTTATGAAACGCTAGCAGCACTTAATCAAATAATTACATATACAGAGCAAAAATCTGATAAAATTGAATTTTTAAAAGATCAAATTCGAACTATAAAGAAGTTGCGTAAAGTAGTAGAACGAGAAGAATTCAATTCTAAACAGCAGTCACTTTGGATTCGTGTTTTGGAATTAATACCAATAAAGGTTAACAGAATATTTTTTTTAATGGTTTGTAGTGAGAAAGTGAAAATGCAATTAAACTTTTTGTAATAAAGTTGTGCCGAATTTGTATCCAATTAAAATCGATTACTAATTGACCTTCCGAATATAAATCATAATAAAAATGAAATTTGGCAATGACCCCTAAACCTATTTGTCACCCCTGTATCCGTGTTATATAATTAATTATCAATATACCGAATTTGGATATGATATTTGGTATTGCAATATAACAAATAATTATTTAAAATTCGGTAAGCCATTTATTTGAATTTTTCACTATAACAAATCATAACCTCTGGAAATCAAGATTCATTATGAAGAGCTTTGACTGTATTATTCAAAATAAAATATTATTCAATAATTATAAAATTTTCAATTTAATTTAATTAATTATAAGTTTAATAATAATATCTATTTAAAAAAATAAATATTTAAGATATTGAAAAATAAATGATTTTTAAAAAGGTTTAAGTTTGAAAATAATATATTCTGATATAATTTTTTGTTATAATTTTATATATATTATATATTTTTTTATAACAAAATTAAAATTTATTATAATAAATATAATTTTAATTTATTATTAAATTAATTACTATTTATAGTAAACTTTATATTAATTATAATATATTTTAGAATCACAAATAATTATTAAAGTTTAAGTTAAACAAAATTTTATATAAATATAAAGAATTCTATAAAATTATTGGATAAATAATAAATAAATAACAAAAAAAAATAAAAATATAAAATTAATATAATGAATAAATTATAAAATAAAAGATATAGATATATACAATGATAATTGTAATAGGTGATACAAATCCCGGACCATTTTGAAATATAATAATTATGGAAATTCTTGTTTATATCACTAATATACCATCGAAAAACAAGTTACGAGATTTATTGTTTGTGTGATACAAACTTGTTTATGTAAGTATATTTTTAAAATAAACATAATAAACCTATAAATAGGATCTTCTTCCTAACTTTTTTTTTTAAATTAATCAACTAATTAGTTGGTGGATTGGATGCAATGTATCTCCTGAGAATCTGTTTATTTTATTTCTAATTCTTTTTTTTTTTTGTTCTAAATTGAGCTCAGGAATTTAGTTTCGTTCGATGAGCATCTGATAGTTGAAAAAGAAAAGGTGTCTTTTGTCTTTTTTTTTTCTTACTCAGTAAGGTATCTTCAATACGATTATTTTTTTATATTATAGTACCGGATTTATCTGGAATAAATTTTTTTGTACTCCACATCAATAAGATGAAAGAATTACAATCGCGTTTTTTTTTATACCTAATAAAATTGAACCCTAACTCGTATTTGGTAAATTGATAACTCGATGAATAAATAAAATAATTAATAGTGATTGTAGAAAGGCTGTTGAAAGTGGGAATGAATAAAAGGTGATGAACATCAAATGGGCCGAATGTTATTAGAATCAGAAAAATTCTAATTTACTTTACGTATATTAATTTCTAATTGAAAAGGTTGTTTATTTATATAGTTTTTTTTTCTCATATTTTTATTACAGTTATACATATGTCTACTGTAAATCGGTTGTTTCAACTGTCTTACCAATATAAAAAAAAATTTTGCCTTTCTTTATGAGTTGTTTCTTCCGGCCAACACACCGGCTAGCTTGTGTCCTATAAATATTTTACAATAGTTTTCTCTTAATTAGTAAATCTTTAAAATTCCTTTTGATAACACCTTTGAATATTTAACGACTTCCTTTCAACAGTCGCAAAATCTCCTCTTGATTTCTTTTTTCCTTTTTTTTTCCTTTTTTCTTTGTAAATAATTTTTTTTTTTTTTTGTAATATTATTATTATTATTATTATTTTTAAAAAATTTTGTTGAAAAAAGTCATCGTATACTTTTGCTTTTGGTATAGAAAGAATTATTCGTATTTTTGTTTTATTAGTATACGTTTGTGTCGAAACAAAAGGTATTAGCTATTAAAGTGAAAACGGGGCAGTTAATTTTAATAGGTAATTCAAAAATAAGAGTGTGTAACGGAAAAGAAGAACGAATTAATAAAATGTCGTGTGAGGAATTGGCTGAAGCGGAACCTCAACAGACAACCTCAACTAATAAGGAGTCGCGAGAGAATACTCCTATATCTTCTACTGCCCCCAAAAAATCCGCGTCTCATCCTAACCTTCAAGCTCAACAATTACAAAACGAACAGAACTCGAATGCTGAATCTAGTCAAGAAATAAAAATGAATTCAAGTCGAAAACAACAAAAAGATAAAAATGATAAAGACATTTTAAAGTCTAACATTGCTTGTCAAAGCGTGTTGGACAAAGACATTATCAAAAATAACAAATCTGCTAGTATCAGCAACACATTAATTATCTCTTCTGATGGCATGGATGAAAATTCTAATGGTTCACTTAATCATAATATAAGTGTTGGTGATATTGATAATGATTCATTACAAGAAAATGGTATTTCAATTCCTCGGAGACAAAGTATGAATGATAATTCACAAAGATCGTTGAAATCCTATTCTATGCATCAACGTCATAATTCGACTCCAAATAGTTCTTCAGTTAACCTTACCACAACGAATGCCAGTATTTCCTCTTCACCTCCATCTCCATCTCCATCATCATCATCAACATCAAATGACAATAGCAGTGATAACATAAATTCAACCGATACCAACAATAACGCGAGCACAAGTGCCACAACAACACCCACGAACACAACTTATTCCAATATTAACATGAACTCACCAATGTACGAAGACATGCCCCAATTGCCATATCCAAATATGAATCCAAACGTTCCTTTTATACCCGCTCAAACCCAATACTTTACTCCTCCATTTTTTCCAAACAATGGACAATACTTTTATGATAACAGATTTGGGAGACCACCTCCTCAAATGCCACAACAAACATTTAGATCAAATGCTTACCCTTACCTCCCACTACCTGTTATTCCTCCAATGCAACCTCCACCTTATCATAATCCTTCACCTCTAATTCCTCAGCAATCTCTTTCCGCAAGATATCTTAATCCTTCAAGTGCAACCGGGGGTGATTCCGGTTTTTCTTCTCGTAGAAGTTCTTTAGATCAAACCAGAACTCCGGATTTTGGCCCCCAACATCCTCCAAGAATAAATCAGCAAAAAAAACCTAAACAATTGGATAAAGCCCTTTGGGTTGGAAATTTACCTGATACGACTACCCAAGATGAATTAAAAGAATTTTTCGCAGATGATAACATGGAGGTAATTTTATTGCTACTTGTGGCGGGAATTAAAATCATTTCTTGATTAAATATTTAACAATCGAGATCTTTTTAATTATTATAATTTCTTTTTATTCAAAGAGCGTATTTCATATTAGAAAGTCTAATTGTGCCTTTGTGAATTATAAAACATATGAAGCTGTTATGGAAGCTGTAGATAAATATAATGAAGCTGGTATGATCTTTTAGCGAACCGCTAGCTTTAATTAATTTTATCTTTAGAATTTATTATTAACTTAAATGATTAATTCGTATCAGATTTCAAGGAAATTAAATTGGTTTGTCGTCCAAGGAAGGTAAATACGTTTTTTAAGATTTTTTTATTTGCCAACAAATCATTTAAATTAGTTTATACTAACAAGTTTATGCTAATCTGATTTTCAGCAAACTTCCGCCGATTTAAAATTGAAAACCGAATCCTTGTCTGCACTTATTTCGGAAAGCACTCCTCCTCCTACGCCTTCAGAGGCTGGCTCAACGGCATCATCTTCCACTAGGTCTCGCCGATCATCAGTGCCACCTCGTCAACGTATTCGACAACCGTCTATTGCTTCCGTGTCTCCGGCTTCTTCCGTTTCTTCCTTAAAACCATCTTCACAGAATAGGTATTTCATTCTCAAATCACTTACTCAAGATGATCTTGACATTTCTGTTAAAAGTGGTCTTTGGGCAACACAGCCTCATAATGAGGCAGCTTTGAATAAAGCGTTTAAGGTAATTATTTGAGGTATACGTAAAGAGATATCACCTTCGTTTGTAGTTGAAATATACAATTAATCGACTTATTTACACAAACAGAGTGCCGAGAATGTATACCTTATATTTAGCGCCAATAAGAGCGGTGAATTTTATGGTTATGCAAAGTATGCTTAATTAAGTTTTGAATATATTTCGGTTGAATGTCACTTTATGTTAATATTTATTTTACAAACAATATCAGAATGAAGAGTCAGATTAGTAAAGAGATGACGACAGAAACAGTACAATGGACTCCGATTGACGAAGCTGCTTTAGCTGCCTCCTCTTCACGTCCTTCACCTAATCTAGATGAGAAGTCACGAAAAAAATCTCAAGAAGAAGAGAATGAAGATTTGGAAGATGACGCTATTCCATCTAGGAATTGGGGGACGACCTTTAGAGTTGAATGGATTAAAGTGTATGTTCTTTATTCCTTATAAATTGAAAATATTTTTCGTAACCTAATGTATATTTTATGTATATCAAGTCAAAAGCTTCCTTTTATTCGTACGCGTCATCTTCGTAATCCATGGAACGCGAATCGCGAGGTTAAAATAAGTCGCGATGGTACCGAGGTTGAACCAGTTGTTGGAGACCGATTACTTACCGAATTCCATAAACCACCTCCAACAATACCCGTTTCATATTCAACTATATCTGGTCCTCTATTAACTCAACCATTGAATATTGATAGTCAGGGTGTGGTCGTTGAAGGACAGGATAGGTATTTAATTATTGCTTATTATTTGATTGTATTAAATTATAAGACGTACATTTTACGAAACTGCTTTTTTTTCCTTTAAGAATTTTGGCTTCTCAGAGTGCCGCGCAAACTCTACCCCCAATGATTGATCCTAATTTTATGCAGAATGCTCAACCTGCATTTTTCACTCAAGGAGGGTATTGGCAACCACAACATCTTATAATACCTCCATATGGAGCACCTCCCGCTCATCCGAGTTATGTTCCAAGTCAACAAGCTACTCGTATACAACCGACTCAAGCTTCAACAGGTGTAACTGGTTCTTCCGCGATGACTCCAATAATGCCTTTGGAACAACAATACGTGGAGGTAATATGGGTAAATATGGCCACAAGAGTAGAAACTGTGTGGGGTTATATACATAGAATTCACAAATATATTATTAATCTTTATTGTTGATTGCAACGAACCATTTCTCATTCAATTCTCATATTTTTATAGGGGCCTATTCCGCAGCATCATCCTTCACATTACCAGTCCTCTGCTCATCACCTTTATCAATCTCCCGCTGCTGGTACAGGAGTTCATTACCAGCAAGCACCACAGCAATATTATCGATCTTCAGATGATAATAACCATATAGATGGTCATATGTCATATCAAGTATCATCGCAACAGCAACAGGAACAAAATATGGGCGGTGATCAAGAAAATGAATCCCATATGATGCCTTCTTTTCTTATGGAAGAACAAAGACAAAGTTTTGAAGCTAGTGGTAGTGCATAGACAATATCAATAGTGGTAGCATTGTTTTTCCTTTTGTTCATAAAGTTTAATCATTACGCATTGACATTTATGATCAAAATATTGCTCTTGTACTTTTTTACTTTTCAACTTTATTTTGTAACTTAAGTGATTTTTGTGTACAATATGTGTACAAACAGGTAGGTATTTTTGGTTTCAAATTCTTTTCTCCTTTTTAAAATTTTTTGGTCAACTTTGTGTAGTTTTTTTTTTTATTCTTCGTGAGTTTGATACTGTATTCTTTTTGTTTTTTTCAATTAAAAAAAAATTTCTTTTTATTTGTATTTTAAAATTTCCTTTAGATCCTTCATTTTATTCAATGTTCTTTCTTTGCTACTATTTTTCTCCCTTTATCCGTCCTTTATTGTTTAACTTCCTATTTACTTTTTCTCGATTACAAAGATGAAAGTATAAAAATTCACTAATTAATTTTTTTTTTTTCATCTTTTGTATTACGTTTTTCTCCTATTGTCAAAAGATTTTTTTAATGGTATTCGTATAATTTTGTAAGTATGTGTTTAACATTAGCCAAAAAATGTCAAGTGAATGATAGTTTTATGAAATTGATTAGGTATTGAAGCCTGATAATACAAAAATTATTATCTTTGTAACTTGTAGATGTAATTTACATTGATAAATTTTTTATTTTTTATTTTTTAAAAAAAATAAAAAAAAATCAAATAAAAGAAATTGACAATTTATAAATTCTTTTAATTCCCATCTTTATTATTATTAAAAATTATATAATAAAATTTTAGAAAAATACTATTATTATATTATATATAGATTATTTTAAATCATTATTATATTTACAGTAAATCACAACATTTTTGTTTTTTATTTTATTTGTATTTCATCATTATATATAAATTTTAAACTAAAAAATCAAATATAAATTTTAAATAAAGCTATTATATAGTAATACTTCTAGATTAGTCAAATCAAATTATAGATTAGCCAATACAAATATTTTTACTATAGATTCTCATAGCTTAGCTATTAATTTAAATGATAAAAAAACCAGAATACATTTTAGCATTCAATATCCAATTTAATTGACTAATTATTGGAAATAACCTGAAAAGATAAATTTTATAATAATATAGTAACATAATATTACATTCAATTAGATAATTATAATGATTTCTTTTCATTTTATAATAAATAAGCAATTATCAAATATAAAGGTTATATTTTAAATATTAAGGATCTTTTAAATATAATGCCGGAAGTCTTAACTCAAAAATAAAATTGTAATACTTAAAAAATTTTAAATTTCTTAAAAAAATAAAATTTTAAAAAAATAAACTGGTAACTTTATTCTTTATGATAAATACTATTAAATTACCGATCAGATTTCCGAAAAAATGTCTGTATAAAAAGTTATAAACATTTTAAATCAGATGATTTTCATATAACTAATCCAAATTTAAAATGAATCAAATCATATGTATGTAATTTTATTGGTCAATAAGAATAATACTATAAAGAAAAGATAAGAAAAAACAGAATTAGAAGAACATGCTAAAAGAATAAAAAAGATTGATACTTTCTTCAAATTAGCTTCTGGAAATATTAGATCATCAAATCCAACATCAATTGATATAAAGACAAACCTAAATACATATTTAAAAAAACTTAATTAATTATGTTCAAGTTTAATAGGAAAAGCTAAAAAAAAAAATCAGAATATATTTACTTATGATTATATTCGTCTTTTAAGTATACATCAATTTATACAAAAATTATTAGATGAAAGAAAAAATGACTCCCAATAATCAAATTGCTCAGGCTATATGAAATAAGGAAGATTACATGGTTCAATGCATTAGAAAATAGAAAAATCATTATATATGAATTGGTAAACTTCCTGTATATTCTTAAGAAAAGCATATGAAAATTGAAAGTCTATTGAATAATGAGGATTTTATTGAGAGATGCCAAGTATGATTACGATAGGTATACATAAAAAATTAATGAGTACATATACATATTATGCACATAAATTTTACATTCTACTAGAAAAAATGTTTATGTATAAAAATGTATAAAAGAATTTAATAATGATATGTTAGATATTGTATTGAAAACCAAATTCAACCCAGGAGAAAAAGAACTTATTCAAGTGATACATAATAAATGCCATTTTTATGCTAATGATAAATAATAGAGAATTTGGATTAGAAAAAAAGAGGATGTTTTATATTTGAAACATTTAGGACGTATTATAATGGTTACTAATTTTCTTTATTTATATCATAGGTAAGGTTACTGAATGAAATCCAGAGTTTAAACAGACGTCTAAATGGTAAAAGTAAAACTTGGTTAAATTATATTAAAATCTTATTAAAAAATCTGCGAAATTTAGAAAAAGGTAAAACTATATCAAAGTTTATAAAAATGGTGAAATTATATCAAACACTTAGTAAAAATTTAGCAAAATTAAAGGTTTAGACATTTAGCCAAATCTAAAATGAGTTTAGACAAGCAACCTTAATCATAGGCTATTACAATTATCTGATAAACAATTATAAGAAAATTCACACATTAAAGATAAGAACGCTTATGTTTTTCGTTCAATACAAATGAATAGATATTAGATCTTAAAATATATGATAGAACAAGTTTGATTAATTTTTTTTTTATAAAAATAAAGAAAAACTTTCTAATGCTAAATTAACTTACCTTACCTTTACAATATGGGAGGCAATCAGTAAAAAAAAGGAAAATCCAAAATTTTTGTTAATTTTTATTATTAAGCTAAATTTATGCACATAACTGAGATCAGCCAAATGGTTCAATAATATAAATTTTTGATTAAAATTTGGATTTCACCCTTTTTTACTGACCACTTTCCATATATCTTATAAAAAAAGCAATGCTAATATTTAAAGTATTATACCTTAAATGCATTGGCATTTTTTATTTCAATCAATCAACCATAATGTTATGATAGAGGATGTACTAATCGCAATAAAAATAAATTTGAGACCTGGAGGAAAACAACCTAGAATGTATGATAAATGATATATTAATGAATATGAAGATAAATATATACATTCTATAATATTTTCAAATGACCATCTAATAGAAGAATTAAGAGGAAAACTAAAGAGAATCAAAAGGGTGTTTGAAAAATATAATCTTTGACCTAAAGAAAGGATTAATTTAGTATACAAAAAATGTTCTGAAAAGGATATTAATAATAACTTAGTAAGACTGAATTTGCTGTACACAACGAATAATGTTTTTATAACCTAACTTTCTTGAGTAATGGTTAATATTAGAAAAACTAATGTTAGATTAGAACATATTTTTGAACAGTATCTAAAGTTTTATTGTAAATATAACTTTATAGAGTGATACTAGGGCTTTGCATAATGAGAGATTAAAGGATTATGTAATTATAATTATGCAGACCTATTAGAGCATGTTCTCAAGACTCTTAGTAGTGTTCTTATAACAATTATTCACATATTTGCATACAAATAATGGAGGTATATAGATGCATATAGCAGGGGTTAGAGGGCAGAACTGCTGAATGTGCTGTTAATAAATATAAATCATATCACCAGTTGTCCAAAAATATTGAAAAATAATGGATGATTAATAAGATATAAGATAATAAATAGTATTACATATAATAAATAAAACAGTATAATATTTAGCTTTTAGATTGTTCTTTAAGATTTGCCAAAAGATTCTTTCTTTACAGATTTCTTCTTCAATATTATCTAATCTTTTTTTACCTGATTAGTGATATTTTTCTATTGTTAACCAGTTCTTTATTTATAAGATAAGCAGAAGGTTTTATAAAATAAAAGGTAAATTTTACATTTCTTTATTTAACTAATAATTCTTTTACTAATTTATCAAATTACTGGCATTCTGTAATCTCTTGAACCTTTTTATCTGACTAATATTCTTCAAAGGAACTTAAAAAAATTTGTTGCATAACGTTTTTTTAAATTTAATCTTTTTAGTTACACAGATCTTAATTTTACTTACATTGATTGAGAAACTAAAGAACTGAATTTACATTGGTATTAAGGTCCTGTAAATGCAATTTTACAAGTATCATTTACATTCCTCATAACGTTTTGCCAAAATTCTTTTCATAAAATTCCTTCTATATTATAATACTCCTAGAAAAATATTATATATAATTCATCTTAATAATTTAAAAAGCAATTTATATATATTTTATAAATTAAATAAATAAATAAAATATTTACTTGATTGTGATTTTTTCACGCATGTGTCAAATTATTTGACTATTGAAAACGAGCAGTAACAGTGGTGTTTAAAGAATTTGTTGAAGATATATTTTGTAATTAAAATTTTTGATTTAATTTAGTATAAAAAAAATCTTACTTATATTGAATTATATAATATGTATGAATATTCAAACAATTGAATGATTTATTCAAACTTTTACTTTGTAAAAAGCTTTATTTGAAATATTTAATATGTCAACAATTTTGTATAAAATTTATATTATTAATTGAAATTTATTTTGTGACATGAATTTTTTAATATATCACGTGAAATTTCTATTATATCAGTTATATTTGATTTTAATAAGTTAGAAGGCATTCATTCTGGTGAACACATAGTTAAAAAGTTAATTGATATATTAAATACATATAAGATTTCTACAAAAGTTTGTGAAACTATTAACATATGTTTATTTTAATTTTATATCACAAATAGAAATTATACATATAATTAATTTTATACATTATAACCGATAATGCTTCTAATAATAACACGATATTATATGACTTGACTTATAGGTATTAGAAAATAATATTATTTTTCAGTTAAAAATAATCACATTCAATGTTTTGCTTATGTTTTGAATCTTGCAGTTCAATATGCTTTAAAAGAACTTAAATATGAAATAGATCGAATCATAAATATTATTATTAAATGTTGTTTTTCTTTCTAATGATGATAAAAATTCAAAGAAATTTCAAAACTTAATGGCATTAAAAATCTGTTTCTGATTTTAGATGTTTTGACTTGTTGAAATTCTACGTATAAAATGATTAAACACATTTTGGATTTGAAAGTGGTTAGTACTTTAGTTAAAATTTAAATTATTAAAGATTTATATATAATTAATTAAAGATTTTATATAATTAGATTTTTGATAAGATCATTTTAACTATTGAATTTTTATTCATCAGAGATATTAGCTTAACTCAATTATATTAGAAATTTCTTGAGGAGATTGTAATTTTTTTAAAGCGATTTGTAAGAATTTCAATTAAAATATATGCATTGACTTATCCTATCATAAGTTTAGTTTACCCTATGTATAATAATTAATAGATCATACTGAAAAAATAGTGAAGAATGGAAAACCTTCAAAATTTTTAGTTGTAGCTGCAAAGGTGGTATAGAATAAGCTTAGTAAATATTACAATAAAACTTCTAAATCAGTATATTACATTTCTATGATTATTAATCTATAATAGAAACTTGAATATTTTTGAAGCTGAATAGAAAATGATGATGATATATTTTATAGAAAATTTGTAAGTAAATTAATTTTTATTATAGAAATTAGATAAATTATAAATTTTAAAAAAATTTTATTATTAAAATTAGATTTGTAGGTAAATTTAATGAGTATTATTCTATTTACTTTCCAATTTCAATACCTGCTGTTTTTGATGATAATGAGAATAGCAATAATAAAGATTCTTTATTTTCTATTCCTAAACACTTTTGAAATAATAATAGACATAACAAATTATTTAATTATCTTAATAGTTTACCAGAACTAAGAACTATAAATATATTGGAATGGTGGAAAATCACAAAATTAATTATCCAACATTAACTATAATAGTGTATGATTATTTATTAATACCATTTACTAATGCACCTGTAGAATGATTATTTAGTCAAAGTGGCAATGTAATTATACTAGAACGTAATAGACTTAAAGTGATATAATTCATGTGATAATATATCTTAAAAGTTGGCTAAAGTCCAATAATATGTTTTAATTTGATTTATATATAAATTTTTTGTATAATTTGAGAAATAATAATGGTTAATAATAATAATAAAAAAAGAGTATCAGAATAATAGTGCTTTTTCTTTTTAAAAAAAATATAAAATTCTAATTGTGTAAATTTTATTAAATATAAATATAAAAATATAAAATAATTTACTAAAAAAAATTTTTATAATATGAATTTAATTAATTTTTTTGAATTGAATGCAATAAGATATCCAGTTGGTTTGATTAAAGAAGGTAAAATGCCTTTGACGAAGGCTAAGTAACATTTATTTCATTTCTACTTTATGTATTCATTTTAGGATTTTCTTTAATTTATATTATGAAAATGTTTTTTTAATAAATAAATGCTTCACTGCATCTTAAAAATATATATATATATATATATTTAATCATTTTGATTCGGTTTAGTTGATTTGATTTGATTTGATTCGTTAAATATTTGATTTAATTTGATTTGATTCAATTTAATTTTGCAGAATCCTTTTCTTTCTCTCTTTAGTACCATTCATATAAATTTGTAAATAAGGTTTTTTTCTACAAAAAGAAAATGTTTTAATATGCTTCATTTTAAATGATTCAAAAAAAATTTTATTCACCTTTTCTTTACATTTATATGAAGTTACTGTCTAATATGAGAATATTAAAGAAAATCTGAATACTTATAAGAGTTACTAGTATCTTTTAGCTATTAATAAGATTAATAAGATGATCATAAAGATATAATATATAGTGATACAATCTATTTATTTTTTTCTGTTGACCCTTTATTCTCAATAGCTATGAATAAAATCTATTGTCATTTAGATAAAGCATCTTCAAGAAATTCCTTATCATTTTCTGCAACTATATCATATGTCTAATAAGTAGTTTCTATCAGAGTAATGAATTATTATTTAATCTTCTATTTATCTTTTTCAACCTCTGAGTGAAAAAAACGAGGATGTCTAAGAATTCTGAAAGCTCAGATTAAATCATTTTTTTTTGAAAGATTTATAATTATACCAAAACTCAAGATTTATTATTTATAAGAAAAAGTTTAAAATGAAATTAATTCTTGAGATTATTAATTAATATACATAAATGGCATTTTATAATTATTCATATATTCTTACAACTGGAGAAGTATGCAATTGGAGGTGCTATTGACTAGAAGAATATAAAGTTCATCATAACTCTAAGCAAGTTTTTTGCAAAGAATGTGATTAGTTAGCTTATTTTACATATGAATTTTATGATGTATATACAAAAAATATAGATCAAAAGAATACTACCATTGGAAAAAGCTGACTAAATTGGCTTTATTATAGGTAAAATAGATGTAAATAGAAGCAATGTAAAATAATATAACTTGTCACAAGAAAAAAAACCAGTGACAGGATGAGTGACATCTTCGATATGCTTTTTAGAGATTCTAGACTGAAAGAAAGTTTTTTTAATAGGTATACTGCTATTACTGCAGTCACTGAAAATAATCTGAAGTTCACAACTTACTTTTTTATTTTTTTATATAGTATACAAACACTACACATATATCATACATATATTATACCATAATATATTTATATTATAAAAGATAGTATAGAAAAAATTCAATTTTTTTTTCTAGAATTTATTACTCTTTTACTATTGATACTTATAATACTAATATTTGCAAATATTTTCCTTTTAATGAAATAAATATTATATTATATATTTTTCATTTACTAATTATTTACCTATGATACTACACATTAATATTTTACTGGATTTATTATTGGAGTTAAATTTTCTGATAAAATATTATCAGTGAATTTATTTAATATTTCATAGCATTAAAATTATTATAATTCTCATTAAAAATAACAAGTTATTTTAATAATGACATTTGTTAAATCATTTAATCACTATATATTCAATCACTTTTTTTTTAGTAGTAACCACTTGTTTTCTAATATAAATAAATCTGAAATAAATATAATTAAATTTTATATCTCCTCTTGTAGATAAAAATCTGTAATATTTTTTGAAGATTTTCAATATATCTTAGTTATTTTTCATTACTTTTCTGTATTTTGAGTACTTAAATTATTTTTTATAATTAAAATTGCTTTTTCTAGTCAATAATACTTTGGTGTTAGGTTGTAAATATTATTTAAAAGCTAACAGACAGTTATAATTATTTATTATTATATAGTTTTATTTTAATTTTTAAAAGTTTATTTATTGATAAAGTTAGTAATGCATGATATATTTATTATAAAATCATTTTTGGGCATTAATAACCATAAAATATTATTAGTTATTTACCACTTAATTGCTAATATCATAGGGATCATAGCAGAGTTGTAATCTCTGATGATATCTCTAATTTTGTGATAAATAACTATTACATATTATATTTTATAATTATTATCTGTTACTAAATAAACTTTTTTATTCTTCTGTTTGATTATTATTTTATTTTTTATTCTTAGAAATTTTTCAATATTAATATGCTGATAATAGATTTTACCAAATATATAAAAAATTAAAATTATTTTTTTAAAACTTGGTAAAGTTTTTAACAGAAATATTAATTCAATTATCAATCAATATTTTTCTTAATATTACTAATATTATTAAATTTAAAGAAATTACAAATAAATAAATGTAATATATTACTAGTTTCTGACAAAATTTTTTTTATTTTCTTAAGTTATTGATTGTATTAATTCTATATAATAGAATACTTTGTTTTCTAAACTTATATTTAAAACAAAAACAAATTTATCTACATCTTTTAAATTATAACCTGATATATATGTTATGTTTCTTAATAATTTGTTAATTAAACAAGTATATGTAATGGTATTATAGAAATTATTACTGATCTTGATTTTAAAAATAAATTTGTTTGAGTTGTTTTTTCTATTAGAAGTTCAATAATTGACATATTATTTTGGATTATATGAAAATAATTGTCATCATACACAATTTTCTATATAAAATTCTTTTGCTCTTATTGTTCATAAAACACAAGAACTAAGTCTCATTTGCTTTAGATTCTACTTATGTTGCTCTTAGTAGATATTTAACTTGGAAAGAAATATCACATCTTGATTCATCAGCTTTTAAAAAAGAAAATGGTATAAGAATATCAAAGGCTCTATAATAATTTACGTTCTAATCCTTATAACTTTTAAAGAATTTTAAAAATTTGTTAAATATATCCAATTTTACATTATTATTTTTATTTATTATTTATTAATATATATATCGATCTTTATTTTTATTATTTATACCATGACTCATTCTTCAATTGGCAAAAGATTACGGTGGGAACTTAAAAAAAATACTCTTAGTTAAGAAATCAATAATATAGTTATTAAAGGTTATGGAAAATATTTTGGCGGATGCTTGGTGAACTAGTTCAAATTTTCAATGCATATTTATTTATTTTATTTATCCAATAATTAATGATTGTCTTTAGACCTTTTTTTTGCATTACCCATTACTAACCAATTGTTTTTTTTCCCTTGCAAAGAAGTAGCGGAAAATCTTATCGCCGATATTTTAAACAAAGAAAATTCTGGTTTTTTTTTTGTTTCGTAAAATCCGATCAATTGTTTCATCCTTAAATTATGTAGTACAAATATATGTTTTTTCTAAGTAGAAAAGTCATTTGTAATAAAATGTAATAAAATGATAAGGCGGCGATGACTTCAACAAATGATCGGAAATTTTCCAACATCATGGATTTATAAAGAGAGAAAATGAAATACTTTATTTATTTATTTTTCTAAAAATAAGTTTATGGAACATGGAATCCATGTTCTTTAATAAATTCTTTTAAATGAAAATCTTCTTTTTTTTTATATTAATGAAAATCTAATACATTTGACGAAACAACACTACATGGAAGTCTGAAATGATACCATCAAATAACTCTGCTTTTCTAAAACTATCAATAAATATTTTTGGATTTTTTCTTTTAGACATCAAAACCATTTTATAATAATTTGGTAATTTAAAAAAATTAATATTTTTTTTATTTATTCTAATTTAGGAAGTGAATGTCTTTATAAACTCATCATAAACCCTCCATTTTTAGTTTTAAATTTGTTATCAGAAATGTTTATTAAGGAAGGAGGTTGTAACGTTTCATCCCTAAATGATTTCTTTATGAAAAAATGAACAAAATGTTCAAGAGATATTGATATTATTGTATTAGAAATTCTAGGGTGTATTAATTAATTGTAACATACAATTTTTTTATTTTAAATCGGAAAACAAAAAAGCATCAATATAAATAAATATTCTAAAAAGAAAGGTTGTACAGTGTGTAATCGGCCTATCCCCCATTAAAAAAATGAAATATAAAAAGGGAACCATCCTAAATTTATTTTTCTTTTCTCATTATTTTTTTTTTCTTCTAATCGTTTAATTGGTTGTGTCATTGGCTTGAAACGCCCTTATTTTATAACAACCTCCTAGGCATTCGGCGCTATTCTTCCGGCTTTCTTTCCTCTTTGCATGTGTTTTTGAAGCGATAAACAATCAGCCAAAAATGGGGACAGTCAACGGTGGAACAATTATCAGCTTCACACCAACTCCTTCTTTACATGCCGTAAACAGCCGAATGCCTCCAATGCCTTCGCATCATCCAACTGGTTGTGCAAACTTTACCTTTCAGTTACCCTCAAGTAAGTCAAAGATTTCTATTGTTGTTACGTTTTTTGTTCACTCATTACTATAGCCGTTATATATTTATTTTTTTATTTTTTAAAAAAAAAGTATACTCATCTCTTTGTTAACAAGACTAAAAAAAACTTGTAACTAATCTTTTTTTTTCTCTCTATTTGATAACCTCAGTAAATAATTCCGCAAAGAAGTAAGTTAAACTTTATAATTATGTGGTTGGAGATTGAGATACTTCAAATATGTGATGTTTTAGTTTCGGTCACGAATTAAATGATCAAATTTAATTTTATTTACCTTGTAACATAATTATTTACATTTGTTATTATTGAATTTTAGGAATACAAATTCAGCTGAAAGGAGAGCCAACCACAATGCCGTCGAACGGGCACGACGGGAATGCCTAAACACTAAATTTCAAGAGCTTGCCCACGCTCTCCCTTCCTTAGCGCAAGTTCGTAGACCTTCAAAGTCAATAATTGTGCAAAAATCTCTAGAATTTATTTATAATGCCCGCAAAAAGGACGAAGAAATGCGAAGTATTCGCAATGAAAATGACCTTTTACGAAAGGAGGTTAATCGGCTAAGAGATCAATTAGGATTGGATCCTTTACCACCACACGAGGAATCTAAATCATCTACATCTCAACAAGCTGACGACGAGAAGGAGGACGTTAAAATTAGCAACAGCAAAAATTCAAATACACCAGAAATAAAGATCGAAGCTGATAATAACACCCCCACCATTTCCAATGCGCAAGAGTCATCATGTTCCATTGATATTCAAATAAAGAACGAAGGTTCTCGCTCTGACGATGATTTTAGTAATGAGGATGATTACGACATGGAGACAACAGAAATGATAGACAAGAGTTCCGAAATAAACCAGTCGATCGATAATAACCAGCAACAATCAAGCGTATATGACGGTGTGTATATTGCTCTACCATATCTATTTATTTATTTAATTTAATATACAACGGTTTTCATCATATTTTAAATTTTTTATAGGTTTGTACTTGCTCGACCCAGGTCTAAATCAACACAGCTATCCAACATCAGGTTTTGGCTTCGCAATGGATATTTCACCTATAGATCAACAAATTGTCGACCCAAATTCTTTACATCTACAATTTGACGGTATTAATTTCTCTTTTACAAGAAATTTTTTTTAAAATCGCTTGTAAATTATTCGATATGCAACATTTTTATTTTATTTTATTTTTTTTGATTATAACCAGATGATATAAGTGCATATTGCGATACATTTTCGTTACAACAAGAATATTATCCATCACCTCCATATGAAGCAAATCTTTTGGAATTAGCAAATCACATGCCATATTCTCTGTCACCGGATAATTCACATAATATTTAGAAATCTTTTGTTTTTAATATATTCTATGTAACATGTTTAATAATATAGGCTTGTGAATAATTATGTAGACTTTTGGGAATGAGCTAGCGGGCTGGTACGCCGCTATCTTTTCTCTACAAGGAACTATTGAATGACGCGCTACAAAACATTTATTTAAATCTATTATATATATACATAATTTTTGTTATTAATCCTTTGTAACATCACCAAAAATAGATTTTCACCACCCCTTTTTCCTTCGATTCCATTTAGAAAAGTTTGGGTTTCCCCTCCCTCCTCTCCCCAACTCCCCATCTCCCCATAATTTATTTAAATTTTAAAATTTTTTTTATTTAAACGGCTGATTGTTTATCCACCAAAGCAAATACTTTGGTATTTAATTTGTAATTTTACACGCTTCTTTACACAACCTTTTTTTATCTAAAGATTTTATATATACTTTCATTCTTTTTTAATGTATGACATTTGCGGTTGCATTACTCCGTGAATTCTTTCCCTAAATACAAATATTTTCAAATTATATATAACGTATTTTTTGTACAACTTTTTTTATTAATAATATTAATTACTCTTTCCTTTTACTCTTTTTGTATTTGTGGGTTATTCTTATACATAACTTTGGGATTTGGATTTCTCCTTTTTATACAAATCTTACTCTTTGGCTACATATTTTTCATATATATATTTTTTTTCTCTTGTAAATCAACATGTATTAGTTTTTTTAAGCTTATCGTTTAAAGAAAAACGATTTGTGTTCCAATGTTCAACCATATTCTTTTTATTTTTATTTTATTTCTTTTATCGTTGAACAAAAATAAGTGAATTGCTAATTCGGATAATTTATTAGACAAATTTACCTGGATTTTTACCGGTTGATTTATAACGAAAATTTGGAAGAATTTCAGAATCGGAGTTATCCGAAATTGAAATTATTTGCCGAAAGCAAAGAAAAGAATTAAACCACGAATTACAAAAATCTAAATCAGGGTTCTCTGTAATAATCTTTAATTTTATTTTAGGCGAATTGGCTTTTAAGTTATTCTTTATATTTTTATTAATAATTCTTTAAATATCATTACTTTATAATAAATAAAAATATTTTGAATATCAGAATTTTAGACCTTTACACAAATTATTCAATTAAATCAAATCTTACTAAATTCGGGTTTTTTCTATAAATTAAACTTATTGGTAACACCATTATTATTAATTACACAAACATTTGTTTATATTTTCCGTTCTCATTTTTATTTCTTTTATATGTTGTAAATGATCTTAAACTAAGTCAAATCCATCATTAATTTGCTTAATATTTTAGGTTCTTATCTTTTGGTTATCTAATCAACTAAATGACTTAATGATTGATTAAATATAAAATACCTAAAATTTATCTTGTAAAAGGAAATTATGCCAAGAGAATGTAGTAAATCATTTTTTATTTTACAATATTTATTTATTAGTAATGACAATCGGAGTTCATTAAAAAAATTTGTAACCCCAATTTTTCATTGAAGGTTTTAGGGTAATCAAAGAAAATATGAAACATCTCATTTGCAAACATTTCTTTTTAATTCTTTTAATTCGCAATTTAATGTTAATCAATCGTAAAGTAAAATTTCTATACTAGTAACAATAACAATATTGATAAATAATCAATATACCAATACCTATCAATGACCTTTGCATCTCAGATTTGGCCCAAAGGTGCCATACATTAAAAAAAAAGTTTCTACCAGTAATATTGTCACTTCATAAAATAAAAATCTTTTTACACAATTTTAATAATTATATGTATTGAGTTTATATCAAATGTAAAATACTTCATCTTTTTCGAAAGATTAAAAAGAATAAATGTGAGGTTAAAAATTATAAACATTTTTCAAAGTCATATATTATCATGTTTCTTTCCAAATTTCGATATTTTGGCTATAAAAAATATTTTTCGTTTAAAAAGGATAATCCCTATACATTAAAGATTAAATATTAAATTTAAACTTTTGTCGCAATCAATTTATAAATTATGATGATCTATCTAATTTAATTTTTTGATTTAGTAGTTTTTGCAGGAGGAGGAAATGAAAATAAGGGAGTGAGTTCAAATGGAATGAATATGTGGAATTTAAAAGAAAAAAATGCAAAGGTAAAACATGATACAAAATTTTATTTCTTTCATTCCAGTCGTTTATTTATTTATGTGTGTGACTGTATATCGCTTATAACTTTATCTAACGTGATTTCTTTCTGTTGTCTATAATTGCAACTTTTGACAACCTCGTGTTTATAGACCTTGAAAATTTGCAGAAAGAAACGAATGAATTGAAATTAAAACTTCCAAATTAATTCAAAAGAAGCAAGCTCAAATTGACAGAAGTCTTTCACAACCACAGGTTTGTTATCAAATACAGATCTTATTTATATAATTTGTTATTTTCCATTAATACTAACTGTTATTTACCATTAATACTAAGTGTTATTTATTAGATATGGACAGGGCCTTCCAAAATGACTATAATTATAATGTTTATTTCATAGGTGAACTGAAAGAACAATTAAATGTGATTACTAATTCAGAAGAATATTGTAACTATCTACCAGTAATTCAGTCATCAGATATGAAAAAACCCAGGGCTGTTTGTCAGCTTGCCAAACAACCCTCTAATATATGTTCTTTCGTTCAAAAACTTCAATCAATCACTAAAAACAAAATTAGCATCAAGAGCTATATGGGAACGTTTCCAGTATGTGATATAGTAAATCATATGATCCGTAATGTGATTTTACTGAAACGCTCCCATATGTGTAAATAATATAGATCAAGCTTAGAAAGTGGCATTTTTCTGGCTTCGATCCATGATTCATGTATTTTGCGATATGGATTTAGAAAACAGATCTGAAAATTTGTTGTATGATGAGGTGAGATAATTTTTTTGATTTTTTTTTCTTGCTTTTTCAAACAGAACCTAGCTATTGAATATTGGAAACAAAAAGATTCTAGTAAAAATACTAATAAATAATTATTTGCTTTTGATAAAGCATCTTTATGATGGTAAATATTTTTTTTTTTTTTTTGAAGGTAAGTATTGAAATACAATTATAAGTTATTTTTTAATTCTAATTAAAGTCCCGTGGAAAATACATTATTAAATTTTTTTTTGTCTTTCGAAGAAATAGGATATATCAAGTTTTTATAGGGGTTTGGAACAACCATCATGGAAAGCAAACGGTTTTGGATATGATATCGTTCAATTTGCCTGACCTCATTTTGGATTGTTAAAAAAATGTAGGTCGTCAGATTTCAAGACATAATTCATCTTACGAAACAGAAACTTCTTGGTGATGTCGTTTCTTGGTAACTTAATGAAACAGATAAGATAGTGGCTGCTCTCACGGCAATTGCCAGTATTGCTACACTACATTTTTCTTTAGTTTCATCTATTGCAAGTGCTTTGATATCACATTGATCGCAATCAGTGAAGATCACAAGTATCATCATATAATATATTCATCAGAACCATATCAGAAGTATTAGAATTATTTTCAGATCAAAATGTTGAATTTGAAATACTAAAGTGAATGGTGTAATGCTTTCAATCTGGTGATATCCTTGATGCTAGTAATCAAGGAGAAATGGTTGTAATAGGGGTGGTAACGGTCGGTCAGAGGCCTTTGACCGACCGACCGGTTATATTGACCGGTTGACCGGCCCATATAACAATAATATAATTTAAAGTTCTTGATCGATAATTTTAATTAAAGCTTTAAATAATACTAACATGGTATTTGCAAAACTCCGATTTTTTATATATTTTATTAGGCTAACTCAATATGCATATTAAGTTTACTTTCATATTTACAGCATTATCGCGAACTTTATTAAAAAATAAATTAAAAATTTTTATTTATAAAAAATTACATAATTAAAATAATTGTTAATTAAATGCAAAGAATTCTTGGATTACTAATTAAAAAATGTTTGGTCAACCGGTCGGTCAGAAACTTTTGACCGACCGATATTGGTTACGGTTATGACCGGTCATGACCGTAACCATTAGCATCCCTAGTTTTATCACTTTAAAAAGAAAAAAGAGTTTTAATAATAGATCAAATAATTTCAATAGGAAATTATTTAATTAGAATTTTTTATATGATCTGACTCTTAAACTTAAATAAAGGTATCCCTCTCTATTTGTCTTTTGGATTTTTCTTTAAAATTTTTCAAAGATTTCCAAGAAAAATTTTTACATGTTAAATGTTATAAGATTCAAATTTATTATACTTGATTATATGTTATATTTAAAAGTTTATATGTAATGGTTATTATAGTTTATTTATTTAATCAAGAAGGTATTGATCTTGTAATTCCTATATGCAGGATTGGAAAGTACAGTGTTAGTACAATGATTAGTACAGTTAGACAGTTAGTACATTATAATAATTAATATATAAATTATTATAAGTATAATACAAGTATGTATAGTATTAATTTTATCTAGTACATATAAAATTCCCAACCTTGCTTATATGTATAATCATAATAATATTGAGTATTATAATTCAGATATTTCAAATATATATCTATCAATCTAAATTTGTATAATTAAAAATTCATAATATTTATAGGTTAAAAAAAATAAGCAAGCAATAATCAGAAATAAACTTTATAATATAAATAATTTGAAATAATATTTAACATTTGATATTAATAAGAAAGATATTAATTATACTTAAAAAAATTTTTATTAATTAGTATTTTATATAATAAAATAATTATATATTATTATTGGTTGAAAATTCATTATTAAAAAGTTGATCTATAGAAGTTACTAGAATTAATTTTATTATTGATCACAAATTAGAAGATCTGCATAATTTCTGATTTACCTGATTTTTAATATATTTCTTATATTTCTTATAAATCTGATATTTTTGTTTTCACTTATTCTATTATTTCACTTATTTTCATTATTTTATTATTCTCATTATAATTATTTATCTTATAT